AGAGAGTGTTGAGGCAGAATAAGAGGAAAAGCCAGTAAAATCCTGACATCCCTAAGAACCTGCTGCAGCCGGGCAGTTTGTGTCGCCTTCTCAGCAGGAGGGTCCTGCAGTGGATGGGAGCTCCATGTGCTCTGCTTGTCCAAGATAGAGCCTTTTCTCTTTGCAGTAACATCCACAGCTGCTACAACGGCCTCCACCAGCACCACCTCTGCGCTGGCTCCGACGGGGCCCACGTTGTTCGCGTCCGTCACGAGTTCTTCGGCCGCGACGTCGTCCACCACCACGGGCCTCTCACGTGAGTCACTCCAGACAGGCTTCATCCAGGTTTTATTTACTGGAGGAATAAACGAGCAGCAGGGCTGGTGGTACCTGTAGGCATTGGAGCTCTGCTGCTGCTGCTGGGGTGAGAGGCGTGAGCAGGCAGGGCAGAGCTTTTCCAACCTCTTAATGTTGTTTTCTGTTTACAGTTGGTGCCACTTCCACTGGTTCCACTGGGACTGCCGGTCTGGGGACACTTGGGTTTGGATTAAAAGTTCCTGGAACAACAGCTGCCACAACAAGCACTGCCACTGGTAGGAATGAGATGCTGAAAGTAGCTGAAAAGAAGAAAGAGTAGCAGCACAGCAGTTCTGACTTGTAAAGCCCTCCAGTAACTGAAAAGAACACAGTCCTTCTTTCTTTGATCCTCCTATTCCATCTTGTTTTGGGAACATAGAAGTCTCATCTCCTGCAAAGGTGCAGGAGTGTAACTGGGTGTGCTGGTAGTTATTAGGTCTGGTAGTAGAACATGAGGAGATTGAGAGTGGTGTGGGCAAGTGATGTTTTCATTCCCTTCGTGACAGATGTGGGCTTTGCTTTTTTTTTCCAGAGGGGCCTATTGGAGCTGCTGCAGTTTGTTACTTACCAGATGTGTCCTCTTCTGTTGCTTGACTTGAATCTCTTCTTCCCAGGTACTACTTCTGCTTCTGGCTTTCCTTTGAATCTGAAGCCATTAACTACAACTGGTGCCATTGGAGCTGTGACCTCCACAGCTGCCACAACCACAACCACCACGACCAGGTGAGTGTTTTGTTACCACTGTTTCCTGACTGGGGCGAGAGCTGCTGCAGTGCTGATGGAGGGATGTGATGGAGGAAGGGGAGAGGAGTGTCGTCGTGCTTCTCTTTTCTTTTCTGACCTTGTGTTCTGTCCTGCCCCTCACTCCCTCTCAGCACACCTCCAGTGATGACTTATGCCCAGCTGGAGAGTTTGATAAACAAGTGGAGCCTGGAACTGGAAGACCAAGAGAAACACTTTCTCCATCAAGCGACACAAGTGAATGCCTGGGATCGGATGCTGATAGAGAATGGAGAGAAGGTGAGGACATGTCCAGTGTAACCTAATTTTGCTTGCTTAGATCCTCTAAGGCCTTCAGTGTTACAGATGAAACAAACCAGTGCATGGCACTTTTCGACTTGTGGAAAAAAAATAGATGTGAATTCTGTCTGGGTGTTTTTCACAAATCTCTGTGTGTTCTATTCTTGATGCACTGGATCTTGGGAATCTGTTCTGTGACTTTGTTGAGTCACAGAACTTTGATGACAAGTTCTTTTAGGGGGAGCATTCCAATCTGAACCTCCCTTAGTCCATCTTTGGTCTGTAAATCTGTACGTAACTGTCTCTTGTGTGGTGCTGCTTTCTCACTCTCACTCCTCCTCTTTGGGGAGTTGTCTTTTGAGTTTACAAGGTCTAATGAAGTGTCTTCAATTTCCAGATTACTTCATTACACAGAGAAGTAGAGAAGGTGAAGGTTGATCAGAAGAGGTAAGAAACTATGAACACCTGAGATGGTTTTGGTTGTTGTTTTTTTTTTTGTCGTGCCTGGTTGTATGACAGCTTTAGAATGTTTATAACCTGTAGGGGTTTATTAAAATTGGCATTTCCTCTTTTCAGACTGGATCAGGAACTCGACTTCATTCTGTCACAGCAGAAGGAGCTTGAGGACTTGTTGACTCCTCTGGAGGAGTCTGTGAAGGAACAGAGCGGGACCATCTACTTGCAGCACGCGGATGAAGAGCGGGAGAGGACGTAAGGCAGAAACCTGCTTGGGATGTGTGTGAGCAGACTCCTGGGGTGATGACCAGTCAGCAGAGAGTGGAGTTGGGATGCAGGACAGTATTGAACCTTCAGTGGCTGCTGTCAGATATTTAACCCTGTTTTGTGCATGGCAACTTAGATTTTACTCGTTAGAAATGGGAATTGTGAGTGGAAGCCCTCAAGTCAGCATGAAAAGCTCTTTGGATGTTGGTCTAATCAGCTGTCTGGGAAGAGCTTACTAATTTTTGCATGATTTCTGAAAATTAATGATTCTTTAGTGATAGAAGTGATGAGAGCAGAACACACTAGGTGTGGCACTGGCATCCTCATGAGCCTTAAGCGATGCATCGTAGCAGAGTAGTTAGTGTTTGGTTCAGGAGAGAATGAATCTTGAAGAGTGCAGGCTTATTGCTTCCTTCAGTTCTGACAAAGCCTTCCAGGAAGCCCTTCACACTGTGTATTGCTTGTCTGTCTCCATGTATCTGTTGAGAGTGGTTTAAGAGTCTCTTCATGCATGTGGTGGAGCCTCTCAGGGTACTGCTCCCACATCTCTGCCAGCCTTGGCTGCAAGACATGGAGGCTAATTGTGATTGCCCATAGTTGGTGTGACTGGGAGCAGGTTTTCAAAGGTCACTTAAAATGTTCTGATCTTGGTTGCCTTGTGTTCTGCAGCTACAAACTGGCTGAAAACATCGATGCTCAGTTGAAGCGCATGGCACAAGACCTGAAGGACATCACTGAGCACTTGAACACATCGAGAGGCCCAGCAGACACGAGTGACCCGGTAAATGCAAGCTTTTTTTTTTTTTTAACTTTGGCAAAGGATATTTAATTACCCTGCAGTTCTGTTAACAGTTTTCAAAGCATCTCATTCTGGTATGAACTCTGGTGGTTTGCTTGTTGATTAATTTCTTCCTAAATTGTGCTTGGTTTCAGAGGCATTTAACATTGATCAGGCTCCACCACTTGCATCTGTCCTGTGGCAAATCTAAATTTTGTTCAGAATGCCCCCCATAGATGTTGATACATTTTCCTTATACCATTTTTGTATCCTCATGAAAACAAGATCTGAATAACCAGCTCTTTTTGGTATCTATTAAATTAATCTTGATACTCCTTATGGCTTTACTGAGAAGCTTAATTTTCAGTAAAAATTTCCCTTCAGTACTGTAGACTGAGTTTTCCACACTTATTTTTAATTTTGCCACCAGAAGCCTAGGGTGATGAATGTTCTGATGGTTCCCAGGTCTAAATTAGAATAAGCCACAGACATATAATCTAAATTAGTTTTCCTGATGGTAAAGAGAAGGAAAGCAGCAGGGTTGCTGCCCAGACTTCCCTGGGAAAGTGGCTGCTCAGTTAGGGAAGCTGAACAGTGAAAAACTTGGCTGCAGCCTGTTCCAAAGGAAGGGACAGGCAGGCTCTCTCTTACTCCTCTTAGTGTTTATGTAGTGTAACAACTGACTTGCACCTTCTCTTTCTGCTCAGCTTCAGCAGATCTGTAAAATTTTGAATGCACACATGGATTCCCTGCAGTGGATTGACCAGAACTCAGGTGAGTGTCATCTTGCAGCCTTTTGGGAATGTAAATGGAAAGCAGGTGGCATGTGTGGGAGTCACTGAACTGCTGAAGATCCCTGAGGAATCTTTTCCTCCTCACCTTCAGTGTCACTGTCCCTTCTGTGCTTGAGTTCCCCTGATGTGCCTGATTGGGAGCCTCTGCTGAGAAGCCCTGCTTGAATGTTTTTCTTTCTCCTTTTGCGGGCACAAGTGTGCAGGGTTGTGTTCTGGGGGTGACTGTGAGATTAATCCCTTGTTTCTCCCCCAGCTGTGCTGCAGAGGAAGGTGGAAGAGGTGACCAAGGTTTGCGAGAGCCGCCGCAAGGAGCAGGAGCGCAGTTTTCGCATCACCTTTGACTGAAGGACTCCCAAGTTTAACGGGTTAACATAAAAGCCTCCCCAGAAAACAGAGCTGTTTGGGAACTGAGGTCTGAGATGATGACCTGCCTTTGCTTCTTTTTCTTGCAATAAAATGTGTTGTTTGTTCCAAAGCCAGTCTTTGTGGTGTTGGAGGGGAGTTCACTGACCCCAGTCTGAGGAACTGTGTGAAGTTTGTGCAGGAAGTGTGGGCTCTTTGTCCTTCAGCACTGCCTGCAGACTGCTGGGATACACAAATGCTGCCTGGGAGGGCTCTGGGCAGGCTGTGCCTCCCTGGCTGAGTTCTTTGGTGCTTAAATGTAACTCGAATATGTTTAATTGTGACTTAATAAGCTTTTTCTTGGGTCTTTACGAGATGATTGGATGAAGAGCCATCCTCAGAGGAGCTGCAGCAGTCTGGGAGACTGCAGTCCCTGACCTGGCACGCTGGAGTTGGTGCTTAAATTAAGTATCCTTCCACTTCTGAAAGTGAGCCTTGTTTTCTGTGCTTTGGGCAAGAGCAAACTGGGTTCCCTCACCCACCATCCCCCAGAGCTGGGATGTTGCTCTCCCCTGAACACTGGCATGCTGGGGGAAGCATGTGCTTCCCACACAAGTGCTTTTCACAAAAAAGCAGTAAAGCAGGGCAGCAGATAAACCACAGTGTCTGCCATTAATGCTACCTCACAGAGCAGCCATCCTCCATGCCACAGGGCTTTAGGGGCATCCACAGTGAGGAGCCAACATGTATTTCCCATCATAAGCACCCATGTAATTACATACCTGTGCAGCCACAGCACCTGGAAGAAAAGGGACAGGCTTTTTTCTTGTCCTGTAGCAACATACCTGCTGCCACCAGAGACAGGGCAGCAGCCACCCCAGTCAGGTACTGCAGCTCAAAGCAGAGAGGCTAGGACTGAGCTGTGGACACAGTCCTGCATCAGCAGAGTGCAGTACACTTGGAGAAGAACACTTGTGGAGCACAAATGTGAATAAGCACACACTGTGGAAATACCATAATAAGTGCATTTATTTACACGGCCTCCTCTCTCCCTCCCTGCCTCTAAAGGCTGAGAAGGCAAACACACCTGTGGAACAGGAGGAAAAAGCCAGTCCACCCCAACAGTGTAAAGGCAGTGCCCATCTCTCTCCCTTCCCCACCCTGAGATTAATGGACCTGCACATTAACTCCCAACAGTCCTTCACTGTGCCAGGTACAACCAAGGAGTTCCCACGGCTCACTGAACACCACAAGGCTCCTGGTTATCCATCCTCACGTGGCAGGGGGGTTCTCTGCAGCAGAGGAGCTGGGGATGGCAGCGTCAGCCTCTGGCAAATGCTTCTTGCTTTTCCCAAATTCAATCACCAGTGGCTTCCCCTGCAGGTTGTACCCGTTCAGCAGCTGCAGGGCACTCTGGGCAGACTCAGTATCTACAACAAGACAGAACACAGTGGGCACAGGTCACCCAGGACATGCTGGCACAGCATCACTTCTGCTCTGATAAATCCTCTTCCAACCCAGGGAAAAGACTATGATGTGATAGGGAGAGGAGGGAGTGAATTCCCCGCCTTCTCCTTGGAGAGCAGGCTTGGCAGCAGCCCAATGCCCTGGGGGAAGATGTGGCACCTTTGGGGGTTGGGGAATAACTGAGAGGCACAAGGGAAGCAACACAGCAACTCACCAGGGAAGGTGATGAAGGCCTGATCCCTCATCCGCCCGCTGAGGAGGCGGAACTGGATCAGTGGGCTGTCCTCCTTCTGGAACCGGGCAAACAAGGACACCAGGTCCTTCATCCTCACCCGAGGGCCCAGGTTCTTCAAATACAGCACCTGATCCAGGGACACAGAGGGTCATCCCTTGCCATGCAAAGACACCTTTCAGCCTGGTCCCAAGTCCGTGCAGATCAAGGGTGTGAACTAGTTCAGCCCCTCTGCCACCCCAGAGCCCTCACACCCGCGTGCTAATGATGATGTTTGGAAGATGGGTGGGTGCACAGAAAAAGGCAGCTCTGAACTCAAGGCATCCCTGTGCTTACCTGCACCGAGTGCCAACAGTTTCAGTTACTTTTAAAATGCAGCAAGCTTCAGCTATCAGTTAAGCACAGCTGGCCTCAGCCAGGTCCAAAAAGAGAGTGCACATCTTAGCTGGTGACTCGCTGGGGCCAGGAAGGCTGGGCTGAGAAGCACAACTCTCTGCCAGGCCTGTGACCTCCCAGTACAGCCCAAGGTCCTCTTTCCTCCCAGAGTGCAGGCCTCTCTCCCTTGGTCTGGAGGATCAGCCAAGCAACCTCCAGGCAACAGCAGAGGAGCCTTCTCCTGCTGACACAGCTTCAGGGTGTGCTAGTGACCCAGAACAAACCCTGGTCCATCTCAGCTTACCTTGCTGGGCTCCCCTGGATGGTAGGACGAGAACCTGGGTATCTTCCGGAGTTCTTCCTCTGAGAGGCGGTTCTTGAGGATCTCCTCTTCTGGGACAAACTCTACAGGCTCCTTGATAATCACTGGCCCTGGAGAGGACTGGTGGGGCTTTGTTGCAGGAACGCTGGGACTTGCTGCCTGTTCTGCTTGCTCTTCCTGGTCTGGAGGTGACGAGTCCTCGGTCACAGGCCCCTGCAGGGCCAGGGAAGGGCACAAGCAGGGGTCACTCTTAGCAGGCTGGACTTTTTTAGGGCACTTCTTGCTCAGCAGCTCTTGGTAAACGCTCTCCAGATGAACCATGGGGTCCTTTTCATTAGTTCCCTTCTTCTGAGTGTCATCTAATTCATAACAGAGAAATATGGTAACGTGACTACCACCAAGAACCTGGGAAACACAGAGACTGCAGGAAGAGACACGGAGAGGAGAAACCCTGCCTCAGCCCAGCCTCTGAGCACCTGTCAACCAGGCCCTGCAGGTTGTTTAAAACAAGAAGAGCAGCCCCAGCAGCCAGCAAGTGCTGGTCTCCCAGCTCAGGATGAACCTGCAGAGAGCAGCAGCTCCACCAGTGCTATGTGCAGAGCTCATTTCTTCCAGAGGTGTCCTCACCAGCTTATCTGCAGACACATTTCAGCACATTCCAGTGACTCCTTTGATACACCTTCCTCCTCCTGCGTGCATGGCCAGGATGTGCCATGCTGCCTTTCTACACCACTACATGCAATAGAAACTTTTTGCTTCCAGAGACATCAGATTAAGCTTCTGGGTGTAAAGAAGGTCCATGGCATGGACTGATCAGTGATCTCTTATGATTCACTTAATGGAAATGAGGACAAAGGTGAGAGGGGCATCTCCCAGCCCACAAACCTCAACCTTGCTGCCTCTTGGTTTTGCTAAATGCCACAACACTGACACCCAAGGAGGGAATAGGGCTCAGAGGATTCTGGGTCAGCTGGACATTACAGCTTGAGCAGCTTCAACACTTATCAAAGGGATGTTTTGGGAGCTAAGGGTAGAGACGTTCCCCCTCACCTTCTACTGAACACTGTTACATACAAAAATCAGCCTGGGCTTGAGCTTCATGCCCACATGTTCTCCAGCTAAAGAAGCCTGGAGCAGCTTTTGCCATCTCTGCACAACACTTGACTCTTTGTCTAGAAAAGTCACATTAAGCCACAGGTTTAGGGACACCACCACTAGGGCAGAAAGTGCTGTCATCCCATGGACACAGTACAGGGAATCCACAACTGGATCCAATTCCACTTCAGAGAGGAGCCTTTAACAAGTCATTCCTACTCTCACCTGCTCTGTGCCTTTGCTTCCCTCCCCCCCTAGTTAGACTGCAGTTTTCAGATCTTTAGGCTTTACCAAAGCACAACTCCAGCCCCTCTTCCACACCCCGAGCTGGGCTCTGCAGTATGTGCAGCACATCCATGAGACCCATGCTCCCCAAAAAGATGCATTTTACAAGGCTCTATATTAAACCCTTCGGAGAACCAACTCTCTCTCTTCTCGTGTAAGAGAGGAAAATATCCCCTCCCACACAGGACCAAAACAGAACCACATCTTCAGGGACAGAAGGCCAGACAGAGACGTGTTGGACTCCCACACAGCCTGGTTCTCCGTGCTGGAGCCAAGGCAGGAAGAGCCCTGAGCCCCCAAACCTTCGTGGTAGAGCGCCCGGAGGAAGGAGTGGCGGTCTGTTCCCTGGAAAAGGGCATTCTCAATCTCCATCTCCCTCCGGCTCAGCTGCTTGCTGCCAGCAAACCTCTGTGGCAGAGCCAGGATGCACTGACGCTCTTCCATCTTCTCCTGGATGGCATGGAGTCGGTCCTGCGTGGCCTCTGGGGCCGCCCCCAGCCCAGAGCCCTGGAAGACAAGCACAGCTTTGCTCAGGAACTGACCTCCTCCTCAGAGGCTCAGCCAGCAGCCAAACTTCACACCCCCCAGCCCTGCAGTGGGTGCAACCAGGAACCACCCCCAGAGAGCAGGGCACCAACAGGGCCTGTTACTGCAACCACTCAGAAAGCTTGAGAGCTCTCAGGTCTTGAGAGAAGTGGAGAAACAGCCCCTTCCTACTGACCTTTCTGTGCTGCTTCCCTTTCCCGGGCCTGACTCCCTCTGTCCCTGCAGTCCTTGCCTCTGACAGGTACAGCCATTTTACAGAGCCACCTTCAGTAACTGCACAAACCCCTTTGGCAACTCCTTCCCCATTCCTACAGCACTCCCCAACTCAACTTTCCACCAAGCTTTTTATTCTATGACCTTTTATTCTACGACCTCCTCACTGAGAGAACATTATTTGCTGGAAAGTGGACCCCAAGCTGCCATTTGGCACCTGAAGGTAGATTTATGCTGAGGACTAAGCCCTGACCAGCATCACTCAAGCCAACTTCCAGGAACCACACGGTGAGTGCAGCACAGACCTCACCTGGCTGCACATGAGCATCCCTGGATAACTAAACCTCATTGCACGGGGCCAGGCCAAAAGCACAGCTGCTGAAAGAGCATTTCTGTTCCTCCATCCACCTCGATCAGAATCCAGGGAACACACTTTTATGGGATGGATTTTCTTTTCTCAAATTCAGTTTGAGAATTACTGTGGCAGATCCTTCTGCCTCAGGCAAGAAACCAGGCTTTCTCTCTGCACTTAGCACAACCTAACAAAGACTTTCCCATGGTACCTCTGCCCCACATCTGCATGGCTTCCATTCACCATTTCACAGCTTCCCTGAGGCACAAAAGCCTGTTTACATGGAAAAGCAATTCCCAGAAATCATTTGTACTACTTTGTTTTCAAAAAAGCTGCCACTTAGCAGCTGAAAATAACAGAAATCTGCACTCAGTACTTTGCCAAGAGCTCCCCGGGCAATCTGAAGTTCTCTCTGTCTCAGCTGACATTCCTCATCATTCTTGTTGGAATCTTTCATTCAGGGCCTCCATGTACAAAGCTGCACATCACCACCTGACTTGGGCTTTCTCTCTCTCACAATATTCTTCTTCTCTCACAAGTGGTAGAAGACATACCCTAATGTCACTGGTTCCCTCTGTCAGAGTAGTGTTTTCCATGCTAATCTTTATTTCTAACCATCCCAGAATTGATTGCATACTAAATGTAACAACTGGTACTGTTGACAATAATTTTCATTCTTAAACTAACACCACCCCTCTCTAAACCAGGCTTTAATCAGGCCCCAGGAGGGCTGGGTTTCATTTAAACACCAAAGCAAACAATGACTTCAGCTGAAGGGAGGCTGATTACCAGAAACACCTTTTTCCTGCACACAGCTATCACTCAGGAAGAGGAGGCAGAGGGAATCCAAGGGTCAGCCCAAGTCCTGGTTTGCACCTTCTAGTTTACCAAACTGAGAGCAGCACACTCCAGTGCACCTGACACAGGACAACCCCAAAAGCCCCTTGTCTCAGGAATGTGAAAGAAAAGGGTGAAGGTGAGAAATCTGCTTTGGCACTGCTCTGCTGCAAACAGCACCCAGAGAGGAGTCTGGCCCTGCCTTCACACACTGGGTTTGAAAGCCCTGCACTGCTATTTTCACAGGGCTGTTCCAAGGCTCTTGAAGCACCTGCAAGCCCCTAAGGAGAACACACAAAATCCTCCCTTACAGACAGCTATCCCAAGCCAGTGATGGGATCCAGGGATGTATCAGGATACTGAAAGGAGGAGGTTGAGGTGCTTCAAAATGTTTCCTCCTTCTTCTCTTCCAGCCTTTAAGTCCTACTTACACAGGTATAAGAAGGTGAAATTATTTGCTTGAGATTATCAAAGCAGAAGCAGGAATATAGTCAGGTCCTGCTGTGTTCTAAAGGACCCACTCCTCACTCCACTGTGGCTTTTAACATAGACCACTCCAGCAAAGAAAACACGCCAGAAGAAATGTGGGATCATGCTGGATATAAGCAGCAGCCATTCTTTACCAGAGGGCTTACAAAGGACTGGAATTTTCTACCTGGGTGCTGCAGGGTTAGAGAGAGGGATCCAACCAGATTCACACGAGAGCAGAGCATGCCCACCTTCCTTGTTGAAGTCCGGTTCTTCCAGAGCAGAATCTCCGAGTCGGAGAGCCCCAGCTCCCGGAGAGAGGAAGTTTCTTTGTTGCTCTCCTCCAGGGCCTGGAACTGTGACAAGGTCAAAGCCCCCGCAGCCTCCTCCCCAAAAGGCTTGTAAAAAGCTGCAGGGGCAAAGCATCTTCTCTTCGACTTGCACCTGTGATCCAAAGCAACACAACGGCACAAACAGCTCAGCACTGACAAACTGGGGGGACAGGAAGGGTCTGGACTCCCTCCCCAGCCACACCAGAGCAGACCGGGACTTACTGCTCGATGGAGACAGTGGTGTCAAGCTGCTGCTGAAGGAGGGTCTTCAGCTGCCTCTCCCCTTCTGTCTCTAAGTCTTCCAGGAGAAGCTCATCACTGGACAGGCTGCTGTTGACCCTGAGGCACACAAGGCCAGCACAGAGGTGGTCAGTAAGGCAATGGGGAGAACACTGCTCAAAGCACATCCCCCCTACAACCTCTCTACCTCTTTGGCTGTTTTAATGGGAATTAAAGCACAACACAGAGCCAAAACTACTCGACTAAAGCTCCCACTAATGTTACTTGAAAAGCCAACAGACCAGGGACTACTCTGAGAACATTAAAGTACCCTAGGGACTCTTAAGGTGTTTTTATTTCGGTAGAGATTATTATTATTATTATTATTATTATTATTATTATTATATTATTATTATTATTATTATTATTATTATTATTATTATTATTATTATTATTTCGGTAGAGCTGCTTTATTATTA